CCCCTCCCTCCTCCCTCCTCCCTCCTCCCTCCTCCCTCCTCCCTCCTCCCTCCTCCCTCCTCCCTCCTCCTCCCTCCTCCTCCTCCTCCTCCCTCCTCCCTCCTCCCTCCTCCCTCCTCCCCCTCCTCCCTCCTCCCTCCTCCTCCTCCTCCCTCCTCCCTCCTCCCTCCTCCTCTCCTCCCTCCCCCTCCTCCCTCCTCCCTCCTTCCTCCTCCGCCTCCTCCTCATCCTCCTCATCCTCCTCCTCCTCCTCGTCCTCCTCCTCCTCTCTCCTCTCTCCTCCCTCTCCTCTCTCTCCTCTCTCCTCCCTCCTCCCTCCCCCCTCCACCTGGACACTCCGTGGCGGCCACACATCGGCCTCTCCACGACCATCCGCAGCAGCGGACTTCAGCTCATGACGCGCAGGCTTGTCTGCCCTAGCCGCCTCCCGCAGGTGGCCAGGCCGTGCACCGCTCCCACGCTGGGCTCCAAGTCTTCTGTCGCCAAGGGCGCTAAGAGGGCCCAGGCAGAGGAGGCACGTCTCAAGCGCAATGACAAAATCAATCTTCTTTTCGGTCAAGGTGAGAGTCCCCTTGCCGTTCAGTCAAGTGCCAGACGTTGGTTTGGCGCACGACAGTTTCAGCCAGGCAGGCGCACCCAGTGCCTGGCCCGACGAGGAGGATCCTTGGGCCCACGAGGGCAATTTCTGCTACGAAAATGCGCTTGGGCCATCCATCGTCAGCATCGGTGAGTCTCATGCACATGCTGAAGCCCCGCCTCAGCCAGTTAGAGTAGGATCGCATAGTGTCTTTCAGGGACCCACCCCCCCAGCCAAAGGTCAAGCCTCGTTTGAGAGTCCCCCTGATGTATCGGATGTCCCGAAAACGAAGGTTGAGCCCGCATTGTGTGTTCCTGCCGAGCTCTGCGACCAGTGCCGTGCTCAAAACCAGTGCGTTTGTGCGGGACCCCCGTCGCAGGGTTTCCTCTCCTCCGTAGCATTTTGGCTCAACCCACAGCACGTGGGGTCAGTCAGTTCCTGGTACGCCCAGTGGGTTTCCACACTCGAACAGGCCATTCTCTCGCACCACCAGAGTCCTGCCGCTGGAGGCCCCAGCAGAGCAGAGGGTTGCAGTGTTCTCATCGAGGCTGCACAGCATCCTGGCAGATTGAGGGAGACGCCCCTCCGCGACAAGGTCACATCGTGGTGGAAACGAGTTTCATCCGTGCTATTGCAAATTGTATCCCACCAGGGTCGAGGCACCGGTTACAAGCAGGTGGAGCAGCTCATTACAGCGTGTCGGCACTTGGCCAGCGATCGACCAGACGGGGTGGAAGGACCTCTTCGGCCTGGCGACCCGTCGCTGCCAGAGTGGACAGGGCTCCTGCTCAACGTCGAGGGCTGCTCCCCGAGGGTGATGGAGGGTTTTCAGGCGCTGGCTCGGAGACTTGAGCAGCGTGCTCATCGACGTGCGCTGCGTGAATCACTCGGTGAGTTCAAGAGCTGGCTTTCCGACGTGGCCTCGAGCGGGGCCGTCTATAGATAGCTGCGCGAAGACCCATTGCCCAAACAGGAGTTCATCAAGGGGCAGGCTGTGATCTCGCAGCCGAAGGACATCCTGGACGCCAAGGGCCGTCAGTGGAGCGGCGTTTGGAACGCTAGGCCCCACGACCCCGTCCGCCTTCGCGAAGCGGGCCAAGGAGGCTGCCAGGGCGGCCCGCGACGAACCGCTGCCCCCCATCTCTGGTGAAGAGGTGCGGGCGGCGGCCAGACGCACGAGGGCGAAGACGGGGATGGGGGCCGACCGCCTCGCACCGCTGGACGTGGAGCGCTTGCCAGACCAAGCTCTGGAGGAGCTGGGGGCGCTCATGGGTTATTTCGAGGCCGCGCTCGCGTGGCCGCGCCGGACGCAGTTGACCATCGGGAAGTTGCTTCCCAAAAAGGCCGATGGTGATCGCATCATCGGCCTCACCTCACTTTTGGGACGGCTTTGGTCCATTATTCGGGAAAGATATGTTCGAGAGTGGGCATGCGTGGCCGAGGAGGGATGGGATGCAGCCGCCCTCGGCAACGCGTCGCGCCAGGAGGCTTTCTTCCGCACATTGGGCGACGAGGTCGCCGCTGCAATGGGGATTTCACCAGCACATGGCATGTTGGACATTCGAGGGTTCTACGATGCGATACAGTGGGATCAACTGCTATCGGCCGCCATCCGCCTCGGTTTTCCTCCTGCAGTATTATATCTGGAGATGGCTCAGTGCGCCGCTCCTCGCATCCTCGAGCAATTTGGCGCGGTGTGCGAGCCTCTACAGGTGCAGCATCCCATCACCCAGGGGTTGAGGAGTGGCACGCGTTTCGCAAATTGCATGGCGCATTTTATTATTGCCAAGGTTTCCAGCACACATGTGAGTCTCAGCCACAGGATTTGGGTCGTTGATATGTCGCAACGGATGGCAGGACCCAGCAAAGTGCTTCAGTCCAAGGTCACGGCTTGCCTGGCCGACACGTGTGACGAGCTCGCCAGGTGGAAGTTGGATGCGTCGCCTAAGTCAGTCATTGTATGTTCTATCCACGGCGACGCTGTGGAAATTTCTCGGAAGTCAAAGGCTCGTGGGTTTCACGTTCGTGCTGTCCATCAGGCCACCTTCCTGGGAGTCGACCAAGGAGGCGGCCGACGGCATGCCCGAACCACCCGTCTGAAGAGGATTGCCAAACATACCAAACTTCATCGGACGATTGTACGCCATGCACGGGCGTCCCGAGTTTTCAGGGTCACAAGTCGACTGGAACGCACCAGCGCCGCTGCAGCAGGGACGCATGGGCATCAAGTATCTGGGACTTTCGGCACGCAGCTGGAACACCTACGGCGCAGCCTGGCAGCGGTTGTTGGTAATGGCAGTCGAGGGGTATGCAAGACATCGATGTTGGCCATCAAGGAACCATCGCAGGGCCCTGGCATCAAGTACCCTCATGAATGCCTCGAGTCTGGGCTCAAACAGTGGTTCGGCCAGCCGTCCATCCGCAGTGGCGTGCACAGAGCGTGGAGCAGCGTCGTGGCCAAGTTGAGGAGGGTGCCAGCATCGCAAAGATCGAGAAGCATCCGTGGGCCTATGCCTGCCGTCATATGTTACTTGCTCGAGAGGCAGTGGGATCCAGCCAGCCCCACACCCTGGATCATGCCCGACGGTACCGAGTGGCGTTTCCCTGAGGAAGGGTACAGCGATATCGTGGTGCTCAACGGCATGCAGCAGTTCGTCGGCGATTCGACCGTGCATCTGAGCTGCTTCTGTGGCGGCGGGCCGAGAAGCATTTCTGCGGCAGCGGCCTCAGCCAGGGGGCGGACATGACCTCTCTCCGTCAGCTGGTGGGGAACCTCGAGGACCCCACGAACGGGAAGCGTCTCGCGGAGCTGATGGTCCCGGTTGCAGCGGGCGCCAGCTGGCCTCGCCAGCGCAGGGCGGAGGCTGCCACCAGGGCGTCCGTGGAGGTGCTTTGCCCACGGTGCCATCAGGCCTCAGAGACAGTTTTCCACAGAACATGGGGGTGCGACTACAATCGCGACGAGCTGGCCTACCAGAAGTCCGACTACTTATACCCGAGGGCCGTGGCCCAATGTGAAGCGGAGGAGGCTTTCTGGCTGCGTGGTCTGATGCCTGCCACCAGTGTCCAGGTGCCGCCCCCTCCGTCTGAAGCGTGCTGGTGGACCAGCGGCCTCAACGACGGCGTCTTTGAGGGGTGTCTCGGCCCTGGGTCAGTCGACTGTCCAGTGCTTGCTTTCGGAGACGCCAGCGGCGGACCCGACTCTGCGACCCCGCGTTTTCGCAGAGTCGGGCTCGGCCTGGCCACGTTTTCGGACGAGTGCCGTCTGGAAATACAGTGCACTGTTTCTGGCAGCCTCCCTGGGTCGCAGCAGACTGTCCCCAGGGGTGAGCTTGTCATGTTTCTCACGGCCCTTCGGTGGGCCACCGATTTCCTGATTTACGTCATTGACAACAAAGCTGTTTTTGACGGGTGGCATAGCCAGCGGTTCGCCCACCCCTCTGGCGAGAACGGAGATCTGCGGGCTGAGGTCGGCCCCGTCATGTCGTGCCAACATCTGGGCCATGTCACGGTTATTTTCACTCACAGCCACCTCGCAGCCGTTGATGTTGCGGCGGGCCGAGGCCCAGGCTGGCTCGTCAGAGGAAACATCGTGGCCGACAAGCTGGCCAACTGGGGCGCCGAGCAGCGCAGGCTGCCGTCGGCTGTTCGTACCCCCATTTTGTCTTTGGAGGAGGACCTTTTTGGGGTCCGCATGCGTATCATACGAGCTTCGCTCGATGCACTCCTGGCCGAAGGAAAACTAGCGAGCGAGTCCCCAGTGCACGCGTGTAGTAGTGGTAGGCGCCGACGTGGGAGAGTAGGTCAGCCCCCCCCATAGTCGTGCCGCCGCCGCCATCAGCTACCACTGTCTCCTTTTTCGAGACTAGCCACGCCCTTGATGACTCTGGGCGTCGCTGCCGCCGCTTTCGCGAGGCTCAGCCGCGGTCTCTCAGGTCCGTGAGTGGCGCCAGACAGAATGTTTTCGGTTGATTTCTCTCAGTGGCTCCCTTCGTGGGCTTCCTCAGGGGGCGAGGCTTCACATCGCTGGGGGGTGGGCCCACCCCTCCCACAAAATGCGGTTGCACCAGGACCTCGATGTGTGGTTCTGCGCGTCGTGTGGTATGTATGGGGATAAGCAATTGCTCGGTCTCGGCCGTGAATGCCCCAATGTGGTGTCTCCCACGCGGGCTGAATATCTGAAGCGTTTAGAGTTGAATCTTTTCCCCGAAGCTTACAGCAAGCGGGAATTGGAGCTGAAGGCCCACAAGGGGCTCTGAGGTAGATATCTGGACTTCGTCCTGGCATTCCTGACTCCTCCTCCTCCTCCTCCTCCTCCTCCTCCTCCTCCTCCTCCTCCTCCTCCTCCTCCTCCTCCTCCTCCTCCTCCTCCTCCTCATCCTCCCCCTCCCCCTCCTCAAGGCAGGAGCCTCGGGGGCCTCAGGACGTCGGCCTCCTGCTGGAGGGCGCGCTGGTCGCCCTGCGCCACGCCGCGGCCACGGGCGCGGCGGCCGAGGAGCAGCTGGCCGAGGCGAGCGCGGCTGCCAGGGGCGGGCCGGCCACCTCGCCTCGGGAGGCTGCCAGGGGCTCGAGGGGAAGGGAGGGGAGGGGAGGGGAGCGGAGGGGAGGGGCCCGTGTCTCGAAGAAAACGGGACGCCAGATGTCTGGAGAGAGAGGGGAGGGAAGGGAGGGAGGGAGGGGGAACTTTTCGGACAGCAAGTCTGTCCAGGCCCCGAGGCTACGAGCGCCCCGCAGGCCTTCCTCACAAGGCGGGAGGCGCCGCTCACGCAACAGGGGTGGTAGGATGACCTCCCCCTGGCGCGGTCTGCAGGGACCCCGACTGGAGAGCAAAACGGTTATGCGGTGATGAGGCCGCTCAGGGGCCCGTCCGCGCACCCGTGACAGTAGCGCCGCCTTGACACACGCGCGCTGGCACGCCCGACGCAGAGCTTAGGAAAAAGGAAACGGCACCACCTTGGGGCATCCCCCGCAGCGGCCCAGTGAGAACAGACGACGGAGCAGGTGCCAATTGTTCACATAGCCTTTTGGTGGGGAGAGGTGCTAGCACTGGTGTGCCGCACGTTGAGCGTCGATGAAGGCTTGGAAGTTGTTGTGAATCGACGCCCACAAGGCCACTGCTGGCCGAAAGGCTTGCTGCAGGCCGCTCCAGGCATCTTGCGCTCGCGGGAACCTCTCGAGTAGCGGGGCTGACTGTTCCTGACACTGGTGAAGGGAAGGCGCCAGCTGGTTGGCTCGGAGATGAAGCAAATGAACACTGGCGATGAGGGTGGTTTCGCGGTCACCTTGGTGTTGACTGCTCGCCGCAGTGGATGTTGCGCGGGGGCTTGCCTACGGTCCGTACGTTGGGCGGTACCGCTGGCGTGGTGGCCGGCACACTAGCCTCTCGACCACCCCTGACGGAACCCTGGTTGGCCGGAGAGGGTGGGGGGGCAGGCTGAAACGGTGGGTCGGGGTGACCAATGGGTTCTGACTCTCTTGGGCGGTCGTCGATTAGCCGAGGGAGGGAGAGAGAGAGAGGGAAAATACGGTTGCGTATGTCGGGGTGGTTCTCGATTGCGTTGTCTTCGCCTAGGAAATGGCTCTGTGGAGGGACGCACTTGGTTCCGTCATCACTTAGCGAGGCTCCAAGCCTGAGCGGGTCGAGGTCCTCCCCTTCGAAGTCGTCCGGTGGTGGCGACCAAGAGTCGTCGAGTTCCTCGAAGTGGTCGGGTCCTGGTGGACCGTCCGGCGGAGGTGGTCCTCCTTGTGCGCCTGTGTACACCTGTTTCTGGCCCCCCGAGTCCGATGGCAAGCGTGTTAGGTGTCCTTTTTGAGAGTTCGGACCTGGAATGCCCGACTCCTGTGAGGCAGGTAGAGCGTCAAATGTCGCTGGTCGTATATGGCGACGGCCGTGCAACGGAGGACACTGGCAAATTTGCGTCGCCATTTGGCGGCGTCGACCCCGCCTTGTGGGACACGTGGCGAGCTCATCAGCGTGACGCTTAAAAATTTCAACGATCGGAATGATGCGTCCTTCGTTGATGCCATGCTCCTCCGGATGACTTTCCACCTTGTGGACTTTGAACAAGTTGGGTTTTTGCAGAAACGCACGGTGGGTTGAAGCAATTTACCCTTGAGGAGCACTTCAAGTCTGTCAACGACCACCTGGTGGTCGACAGAAACATGCACCGGTCGTTCTGCCGTGGCGAAGAGATAAACCTTAGCAAGCGTTTCGGCCCGCTGCGCTGATTGTGCCAAACCGTGCACACAGGCAGAGCAGTTGAGCCGGTGGTTTAGACCGCAGTGCCAATACCCGCCCTGGCAATACCCGCCCTGGCCAGGAGGGAGTGGGTCTTCGGCGGCTAACCCAGGGGGAATTGAGAAGGGGTGGACATTTTTCAGAAGGCTCGGAAGTCCCCCGGCCTTCTGGGAAGTTTTCTAAGCCGTCCTGGGCCACACCGAAAATTGTTCGGAAAGCGCGAGGGTTTCTGAGAAGTCCCGCCGCCTTCTGAGAAGGCCTTCTCCTTCTCACTTCCCCTCCGCGATCGCCGCCGAAGAGAGGGGTGATTTTGGATTGCGCGCGCGTTGAACCTGGCGGCTGTCGCGCGAGAGTGGCGCTGCGGCTAGCAGAGGCAGTTAGCACAGACAGCTCATGTGTCTATACTAAAAGTCGAGAATCGAAAACTCTGCACGGGCACCGAAGGTAAAGTACAGCACAGTAAAACAGTTCGGGCGTGAATGCCGAATTGCCAGTCCCAGCATCCCCCCTCACCGCCACCCATCGACCTCCACGAATCATTAGGCGTCAGCGTGTAGCTGACCTTCAACAGTGGTCAGTAGGAAAGGCGGGCCTACGGGGGCGGCGGTCCTGCAAGGTGTTCCCGACATTCCCCTATCAGCCAGGGCTCGGGTCTCTCGCAACACAGAGTTGGGTAGGAGAGGCAAACAGATGTGGAGCGAGGGTGACTTGCTACTGATTCGCTGCGATCTTGCTCTGGGCAGTACGACGTGTCTCGTATCATGCAGAGCTGCACTGCACACTCGACCCGACTGGTCTGCGTCTGCTCGTCAGTCATGCCGAGATCTCGACTGATGCTAGTGGCAGTTGCCAACTGGCTGAGTGAGCACGGCCCTCTCTACCCTGAACACCTGAAACCCCAACTCCCACCCATCACCTGCAACACCCTTCTCCATAAAGCATATGTAATGCAGGCGGCAGACTGGCTGGGCAGGCGCACGAGCACCTGGCTGTCCGCCTGGGGGTCCGGTCAGCACACGCAACGGGCTCGTGGTTAGTGACGGCCCTCGCTCACCGGCCCCCTGCCACTGCCCCCGCGGGCCAAGGCATGGAAACGCGTCTGCGCGTCGGTAGCTGATGGCAGGGGCGCGCACCTCTGTCGAAGGTGCTGCCGACGAGAGAGATGGCGGGTGGCGTAGCACGCAGGCGGCGGGCGGAAAGAGCAAGATAGGCAGGTGTCCTCTCTCCTTGATCCCTCCACCACTGCCCAACTCATACATTCCCGCCCCCCCCGAATACTCGCGATCTCAACGACTGCGGGTTGCTCTCGAAGTGAGCAACTGCCAACATTGACCTTGCCTCGGCGAGAGCCGCTGTGGGGAGGGGGCTTCGCGAGTTCCTGTCGGAGCGCCCACTATGGCCCCCTCCCCTCACGGTTCGACCCTCGGCTCGGCCGACAATGGCTGAACTAGAGCTGGCGACAGCTGCGCAGTTTTCGCACGGGGGACGGGCCCCGCAGGGCGTCTGCGACGGGGCGGCGGCGGGGCATGGGCGTCCGCACGAGCTGCTACACTGTAGCGCCTCTCCGCTCCTCGATCCTCCAAACACCCGCCCAATTCCACCCACCTCCAGGTTCTGACCACATGTTGAAGTCAGCTGGGCTGTCGCGGCAGATGGGAGAGACAGGGGGGGAGGAAAAATGCTCCTGGGTAGTGGTCAGGACTGACAAGCTGCCTGACCGAACTCGCTGCAAGACGTGGTTAGCTGTTAACCTCCTCCGATATCTCCGTAAACCACCACCGAACACCTCCTATGATCTGGTCTTGCACCTGATCGAACAGCCCGTCTCCAAAGTTGGGCTGGTGCGTTCAAGGTGCAACTCTCTGATCGTGTCTGAGCTTCCTTCGCAGCCTTGCCTGCGAAAAGTGGGGATCCGCGCTCGGAAGCTCGACTGGTTGAGGCGGAGGGGAGGGGAAAGCGCTGGAGGGAGTACCACGTGGCGGCTTATACTCCTGTTCTTCGTCGGCCTCTTGCGGCCCAGGTGCCCGAGGAACGGAACCTGAAACAAACACCATTCCTGGCTCAGGTTCGGGAAAGGACGAACCTGGGATGGACTCGGGCGGCGACACCTTGCCCCGCTCTGGGTCTGCACGAGCCCGACCAGATCTGGGTGCAACAAAACGGGCGTCGAAGACTCTTCGGTCCCGAGTATGGGTCCCATTCTACAACGAAAGACCTGAAAGACCCACGGCGCTCCTCCTCCAAGACTCCGAACTCCACCCGCTCCAGCAGCACGTCCCGACAGTCAAAAACACGGCAAACAGCTCAATCATGGCTCCTAGCAGACGCTGCCGACGCGGAGTTGCTCCATCTGAAGAGGCCTGACTTCCAAGAGTCCCCAACAATAGTCGTGATTCGCAAGCTAGCCTGCATCCAAGAGATGCCAGCGAAAGATGATCCACTAGATGCGGTCGGGCATTAATCTTCAGCCTGCACATCGTACACACACCGTCGTGTCCAGCGTACACTCTTGCCAGTATCGACAGTTGTCGGTGCATGCGTGCCACTTGCGTGCGCAGTGCCCGATGTCGCGCTGATCCTGCCCCTCACCATGGGCACTCCATGGCGGGCATGTCTTCAATCGGCGGCGGCGGCACAAGGATGCCTCTGTCATCAGTGTACACACGAGCGGGCACTCCTGCCGCATGCACTTCTGCACAACTTGCGTGCTAGCGTGATCCTGGACTGGTATTGCGTCTGCGCATGCATTCCTATACGTATGATACGTTTCCAGGTAGGTTGGCTGCGTCGCATGAGGCATTCCCAGAGTCGATTACATGCGGCATTTCACATGCATCAACATTCGGGTATACCCCAAGACCGTCGTAGATGCTGACCACGGTGAAAGTCATCTGCCGCTGTCGGCACGAGCCCCACAGATGCAAGACGTGCTATGGTATCTGCAAGCTCGTTCAGTGTAAGGGCGAGGTGTCCCAACTAACGGGAGAAAACGAAACCATGTTTGGCTTGCAATAGCCATAGCACCAACCAAAAACGGCTTGACATCCAGCTGCGCCCGATTAGTTTTTCACATAGTAGGAGGGAAACGGTTAATCGAGAGATGAGCCGAGGATGGCGGGGGTGAGAGATGCGGCGCGAGCTTGCCAGGGCTGACAACGGTGCCTGACCAGCTCGCTGCAGTCGGGTTATGCGCACGACGGCTGACAGCGCAGACTCCATCTGATGCTGCAGCGCGGCTGTCGTGGCAAGCCCGTCTCCTGTCTCGGGCAGAC